GAGAGGAGGGAGAGAGAGATGGCGCGCGAAGACGAACGCGGCCGCTTGGCGCCAGGGAAAAGAGAAGGCCTTGGAATTCCGTTCGCTTCGCGCTCGCCACCGTGCCCGTGCCCGTGCCCGTCCCGTGCCCGTGCCACGCGCCCTGGACTGAAAGCCGTTCGAGTGAAGTGAGTGTGTCTCGTGTGTCGCTGCTCCGCTCCGCGCTCCGCTCCGCGGCCGCTCTGCTGCAGTTCTCCATACGTAATTGCTCGCGCGCTCATTCGGCTGCATATGATGTAAGCCGCGAGCGTGAGCTGAGCGTGAGCGTGGCATTGAGCTCCAGGTATGCTGCTGCAGCGGGGCGCCGCGCCGCCGCCGCGACCGGCCACGCCGTGCACCGTTATAACGCGCGGGGGCAGGCGTGGCGTGGCGGGGCGGGGCGGGGCGGGCCCTACCATGTGTGAACCAACTCACCAATCAGAGCTCTAGGGCGCAGTGCTATCGGCGGCCGCCAATCGAACACAACGGGACGGCTGGCACCCGCCGTGGAACACCACTGCCTGAAACACTTCTGATATGGAACACCACTCTGTCGGAACACGACTGATGGAACACGCGTGCGTACTCCCTACGTACTGCCGAAACACTTTTCTTTTTGATGGAACACTACTGCCGGAACACTTATCCCGCACATCACGCATGACTCGCTCCTTTCCTCTCATACGTCATCGTTGAAGTCGGTTTACCTTTTATTCGTTCACTCTTATATATTTTTTTTTTTTTGCTTTGCACAAAGGGGGACACCCCGGCTGGAGCGCGTGCGTCAAGCTGGCGCAGGGCGTTGCGTCAAAAGGAAGCCTGCGGTTGGTCTGGATTCATATCGAGTCGCTGTGGCGGCGCTCGGCTGGCTGCCGGGCCGGGGACGATACCAGGAATTTACCCGGAACACCGCGGCTGATCGGATCGGGTCGCAGCGCCTCAGCGTCGTGGCGCCGCAGCGGTGGCGACCACAGTATAACTTTCGGTGGGCGAAGTGAATGAAAGAGGGACATGTAAAAGGCGCAAAACTGACGGACTCGGGCCCATGGACATCGGTTCGAACACCGAGCAGGCGAGAGACGTGGAAAGGAGACGGATCCGGTTTCAGCCGGATATGCGCGTGTTTTTTCGGGCAGAGGACCCCGCGCCTTGGCCCGGCCCGGCCCGCCTGGGGTCCTGACGGGTCCTGATTCCCTGTCGCGGAGGCAGCAGCCGGGGCAGCAGGCAGGAGGCAGCAGCCATGGCGGAATGCCGCTCGGCGTGGCGGTGCGTGGCGGGCTGCGCCGGGGGGAGAGGCACCTGTGACCAGTCACCTGTGCCCCACGCCGCGCGCCGCCGCACCAGCCACGTCGCCTCGCCTCGCCAAACGGGCCGGGGCCGGGGGCCGGCCGCACCGTGCGCTCTTGCTCCGCGGGCTCCGCGCCCGGGCCGGGCCGCGCGCTCTCGCGGTCGGTATGCGCGGCCGGAGGGGCCGCCCTGCCGTGGCCCGGCTCGGCGCGCGGGGTAGCGACGCGAGGAGCAGGATGGGTTGCCTGGCCGCCGGGCGCAGCTTGTGTCCGATGGGCGGCCTACGCCTCGCGGCGTGGCTCGACGTGGGTCGGCGTGGTGGGGCGCGGAGGGGCCCGCGCTCGCGTCCCGCGCCCGCCGCCGCCGAAGCTCGCCTCGCTCAGTAGTCGCTGGGGTGGCACGCGCGCCGCACACCGAGCACGTCCTGTCCTCCTCGTCGCTGACGCGCGAGCTCGCCGCCCGCCCTCGTAGACCAGCAAGCATGTCGTCGACGGCTACCTGGTGACACGGCGACGACCAGCTCAGCGGCCATCCCCCCTTACACGTCGATACCGGTTTTCGTCTACGCCAACAAGCCGCGGTTGACCCGGATCCTGTGAGTAGAAGTGGTCGTGTGCCAACAGCCCCGTTCCTCCACCGGCGTCGGGCGTCTCCCGGGTGCACGAGGAAATTCGCCGAGTTACTGTATCGCGCTCGACCGCGCCTCTCGGCTCGGACAGCTTTGGTTACCTCCCTACATTGGCGTGGAATTTAATGCGAACAAAGTGACACGACTGACTAAATGACGCACGGTTAAGACCGGTCCTGCTGTCAGTGTACGGTTTCTTACTGCCAAAGCATAGGTACGCCAGATGGATTTGACAGGTCGCTATTACCCGCCCCGAAAAAGAAGGACATTTGTTCGCACAGCTGATGTATTCGCTCTCAACTAAACAGTCATCCGAATAGGCAAAGGTAACAGGTAAAGATCTATTCTAACATTTCTTTGGCTGTGCAAGTCTGGTTTTGGTCGTTAAAGAGTAATGTTTTTCCCAAGGTAGCCCATTAGATATCAATATTCAAATACTTGTTCCGTTTTCAGCGAATACGTCAAGCCGTGCGGACGAATCCTTTCGTGGTTTTTTCGTTCGTCTGCCACTCTGTATGGGATCCGGTTACCAAAAACTTGGATTAGTTGGTGTAGCTGGTGTAAGAACCTCAAGCTGAACTAGCTAAAGAACACGAAAAGGGTCGCACGGGATGTTGTTCCCTGTGCCGTTGTCTGGCGGATGAGGGGCCCCGCGCGGCAGTTGCACGGTGGGCTCCGGTGGTCAGCAGTCAGCACGGCGGGGGCGGACCTTAGGGGTGCGCCCGCGGGCCAGCTCCCAGCTCACGCTCCGTGAGGGGTCTCAACATGTGCGAGGGGGGGGGCGGGGGGGCGGGGCGGGGGAGGTGAGGTGCGGCTCCCCATGGTGACGGAGTGCGGCGTGGTAATGGCTCTGTCTATACACCAAGGCGCGGAAAAATTTTGGTCGTCTGCTGCTGCTATGATGGGAGAAAAGGAAAGGGGGGGGGGCGGGGAGGCTGCGACGAGGTGCGCGCGTATCAACACGGCGCTCTGTCCCTGAGGATCAACAAAACCGCAGACATCTCTAAGCGTCTCTCTCCGCAAGGTGCGCGCGAAATACCAGCGCGGGCCGTCAGAGCCGCCAGGACCATAGGACCGCGCGGCGGCCGTGCCTGTTGGCCGGCAATTTGACTATGGCCTATTGTTACTCGGTCCCGAGGTGCGTACACATACACTCACACACGGCACGTACAAACACGCTGCAGCAAAATCGACGCCTGGCTGTGTGAACACCGAAAACGACCGAAAACAACATGAATGCCGGGTTATTATACGCGCGGTGGCGGATACAAAGACGTGTAATAGCCCCCCCCCCCTCCCCCTCTCCCCTTGTACCGGCCTCACCCTGGGTGATAAGACCGTGGTTGCGCACGTGTTGGCCCCATGTGCCCCCGGCCCCCCCGGGCCGTAGCGTAGGGCCACCGCTCTCTCTCGGTCTCTCTCTCCCTCTCTCTCAGTCTCTCTCACAGTTAAAAGCTTACAATGATTTTCACCGTAAGCTACAGTAAGCCTGCAGCACTGTAGCTTACGGTGAGATTCACTGTAGCTTACAGTGAAAATCGGCGTAAGCTACAGTGCTGCAGGCTTTTACTGTAGCTTACAGTAAAAATCACTGTAGGCCGAAGCTTTTAACAGTGCTCTCTCTCTATTTCTCTCTCACACACAGAAAAAAATATAAAATGAAACAATAATCCAATAATCAGCCAGCACCAGAAGATTAAGCGCGGGTTGGAGCGGCCCATCATGGAGTCTCCCCTCAGGTGGACGTGGCCTCTATGCCGCCGCGCGTCACGTCTGCAAAACGTTACTCGGCGTTACAGGACGCTGTTGTGCCGTGACGGTCTAGGCGGCCCCGGGGGAAACCAAACGCGCCATCCCATCGGTCCATATCGGTGCACTTGACATGTTTTTTACTTTTTCATTTCTTTTCCCCGCACCTTTACCGCCTCGTAGATTTTACCCGCCGGGCGAGACGGGCATCCTCGACACACACTAGCCAGAAAAGAAAAAAAAAATACCGGGACATAGCCGTGACGTGTGCCTTTTCTTTGTCGATAAACAAACCAGCGCCGAGGGCATTTCTCCTCGAGGAACTGATTAGGAGAAAAGAGGTCGGCGATCTGCTTATCTCCCCAAAGGTGAAGAGGGATGGGAGCCGACGTGATTGGAGTGCAATAATAATTCTGCAGGTTAGTTGTTTTTATATATCCTCATGAGGCTAGCTGCAAATCATTTGGATACCATAACGAAACTAAGACTTTTTCTTTTGAAACTGACAAATAAAGTGTTCAACTGGCGTGCACATGCAAGTGCTCGACACTGTGTTGCACACTTTTAAGTGTTTCGCTAAATATTTGAATATCTTTAAGTGTTCGACAGTAAATTTGAACACTTAAAAGTGTCCAAAGGGGCATTGCCAACCCTGGTGTTGAACACTTCTAAGAGCCGAACTTCACTGTTCAACACTGTACAGTATCCAAATATCCAGTTGAACACTTAAAAGGGTGCAACATAGTGTTGGGCACTTGAACGTGCCCGCCAATTGACCACTTTATTTATCGGTCTGAAAAACGAATACCGTGTTTACGCCTTCTCTTCACGCGATACACTCTTTAAATCTCGGAAATGGAGAAAAACACCATCATAATTAGCCTGTAGTGATGAAATGTAACACTCTTCCATATGGCCACTGTCCGGTCATTTGAGCGCGGGTCATGCGCGCTCGCGGCCCGGCGGCCCCGGGCCCTTTGGCGCGTCGTCGCCCCGCTCGCCGCCGCGGACTCTGCACGCCACTCGCCACTCACCCGCGTCACGTCGTTCGCTATACAATACCATTATTATTTTTTTCGCGCTGTTTGTTTACCCTTCTCAGGGGGGGGGGGGAGTAATAACTTTGGATATTGCGCCACTTTTGCTGATATACATGCGCGAATTTTCGGTGGGTCCTTTATACGGGCGGCCCACGCTCGTCTCTCGTACAAAAATGGGCGCCCCTTCGCGAGTTGGACCGGAACGGAAATGATCGTTATTTGTGTCGGTTCAGGGCGACGCACCCGAACAAACAAGTAACAATTCCGATTGCGCTGATTTGGGAAATGTTAGCGCACTGGAAAATGTCGAGTCGGGGTTTTAACGCCTAGCAGCTAGGCTCCTAACGAAATTGTCACTGAAATTGTAAACCCTGTAGAGCTCGTTATAGAGTGACGGTTGACCAAGTTCGGCCAGTTTGAACACTCACCATAGGCTTTAAACGCCCCAAAGATGACATCGATGAGCCCTGGCAGGTTTCAAAAGTGCCACTTTTTGTCTCCTAGTGCAATACCTCGCCTTTGTTTGTTTGTTTTGGGACGCTTGTTGCCTTCTCCTTCAGGCGTCAATGTCGTCGCCCAGTGATAACGCGGCGTCGACTCTGCTCGACATTTTAGAGATACATAATTCTGTGTTACTTTTTTGTCATTTTCCCGCGCGAGGTGAGGTGCGGGTGGAGTAATTCGAAAAGTGTCGGGCATTTCGGTGCGAAATCGCGGAATGGCGTGTGGAGGCGCCGCCTCACGCGACGCGCAATGCGCATGCGCGCAATCGCGCTTCCTCGCACAGCGCCGAAATAGCGGACGGGACGGGCGAAATGGACGAGAGGAAAAAAGGAAAAAAATAATTGAGGGAAAGGATTTGCGCCCAGGGAGCGGAAGTGACTAATACTAATTCATCAGCGGCGGTGTGGGGCAGCTCGCTGACGTCGCTGTCGCTGCCGCCGTGACGGGGCGCTTGTGTGTCCCCGAGCACAGCGATGTGCACATCCTGCCTGATTCTGCCTTCCTCCCTCCGCCTCCACCTTCTTTTTGCTCGCGGCGCGTGCGGCGTCTCGGAGGCGGAACACACGCCCCCCGTCCATCCGTAATCCGCATCCGATATGTTTCGGTCATGCCTGATGCGGCAGCTCCTTCTCGTCAGGCCGTGCGGGCGTGGCGCGGCTCGGCCCAATGCGCAGCGCCCAGAGACGCCTCACGCTGCGCTCGGAGGAGCTGCGAGCCCAGCGCCCCTTGAGCCAGGCCGTCCCGCACTGCAGGCGTGCTCGACGGGACGGCCTACCCGGCCCACCCGTAAGGCGCCATGCACTGTACGGCAGGCGGTAGGTAGGCCGTCCCGCACTACGGGCCTGCTCAACGGGTCGGCCTACCCGGCCCACCCGTAAGGCGCCATGCACAGTACGGCAGGCGGTAGGTGGGCCGTCCCGCACTACGGGGCTGCTCAACGGGTCGGCCTACCCGGCCCACCCGTAAAGCGCCATGCACAGTACGGCAGGCGGTAGGTATGCCGTCCCGCACTACGGGGCTGCTCAACGGGTCGGCCTACCCGGCCCACCCGTAAGGCGCCATGCACAGTACGGCAGGCGGTAGGTAGGCCGTCCCGCACTACGGGGCTGCTCGACGGGACGGCCTACCCGTAAGGCGCCATATACAGTACGGCAGGCGGTAGGTAGGCCGTCCGGCACTACGGGCCTGCTCAACGGGTCGGCCTACCCGGCCCACCCGTAAGGCGCCATGCCCGCGAAGCAGGAGCAGCCTGCGATGGGCGGAGTTGGAGGGGGCGACGAACAGCGAAGACCCGCCGCCCAGGCCAGTGGCGTCATGTCAGTCCTCCTGGCGGCGTCAATCGGGATCAATTGCGAATGACGCCCCCCGCCTCAAGGAACGGGGCCAGGCGCAGGGCTGCGGCGCGCGACCAGCCGCAAGCTCGCGCACCTTGGAGCGGCGGCCCTCGCCAGCCCGCTCTCCACCACCCCGTATAGAGGGGGCTGAACGAGAATAGCTGTAGGTCACCCCAGCAACTGGTTGTCTGTTCATCTCAGTACGTTCATAATTCAACGCGGGCACCACCCGTGGCGCCGACGCCGGCACTATGAATAGTCGACCCATCCGGAAGAAGTGACCACGCTGCCTCTGTTTTCGCCCGCGACGCGGCCACCCGAGCGGCAACACCTCTGTGTG